TTTTAGGTATTTGTCAAATCTATGAGTGCTGTGTATAGGTTGCATTGAACTTCTGTAATTATTTGAGTGCTGGCAGTTATTTCTTACGAAGCAAGTTCTGTTTGGTTCCTGGCATTTTGACCTCCTTTAGTAATTGCAGTGCTAAAGTAATATCTTTACTCTAGCTGGTCACTAAATCCCATATCTGAGCCCAGTAGATTAAATACTATATTCTTCATTTTTTTTAAAAAAACTATCCAAAACAATGTTTTTCTTAAGAAAGTTGTGCTTGCAGGTGCTCTTGCAGAATTTGAAACTCAATTGACCTTTTAAGACAACTTGCTAGCCTGCAATTTATTGAAGTAACCAAACGTTTTAGATTCATGCAACATAGCAAACCACAAACTAGTCAACCATATTTCAACCTACTGTGTTTTACTAACCCAGCTAGGAGAGTTAGCTTATGGTTTGGTGAGCTGTATGAATCCACAAAATAAACAATAGCCAAATAAATTAAGATAACTCACACCATTAACTATAGCCATATGACACTGAATCCCAACTAGTTAACCTCATTTTACCCTAACATAAATTTTGATCTCATGCTGCGTGATAAAGATATGCCATGAAAACCTAGAAAATAATGGTAATTCAGTAATCATGATTCAGTTGATGTAATGTAAAAATATGACCAGAAACTAAAGCATTATAATTATGGATCTTATGGTTTAGAACACCTTTGTGTAAGAATGTGGGTCCGCTGAAGCATGGTTGTTTTTTTAAATAATTTCTTAATGAGGAAAGATTTAAATCTAGTAAGGATGAGTACCTTGTGATTCATTTTGCCTTCTTTGCTTACCAATATTTGTATAAAACTCCTATAACAACATCTGGAAGTATTGGTTAAGGTGCTATTCCTTACCTGTACACATCAGCGATTACAATGATGCAGTATTGTTGTAATAGTAGACTCATGTACAAATATCGGAAGCCACATTTTTTGGCCACATTACCACATGATGGAACCAAAAATCAATGTGACTCATGCCTTATTCTGTGCATGACATTATCAGTACCAGATGGATTTGTAACTGGTTAACCAACTGCACTCAATGTGTAGACCTTAATGGAACTGCATCTACATGGATGGAAATATGCAGTGGGGTACCTAAGGTTCTGTTTTAGGACCAATATCTTCATCAATGATTTAGATGAGGGCATAGAAGGGGAACTCATCAAATTTACAGATATCACCAAGATGGCAGGAATAGCCAATATTCCAGAAGATAGGCTCAATATAGAGAAGGATCCTGACAGAGTTGAACAATGGGCCATCTAATGATTTTCAATGGTGGGAAAAGTAAGATTCTATATTTAGGCAAGAAAAACCAAATGCATGGATATAGGATCGGAGATACTTAGCTCAATAGTAGTAACTGCAAGAGGGATCTTGACATACTAGTGGACAATTACTTAAATATGAGCCAGCAGTGTGCCGCTGCTGCCAAAAAAGTCAAAACAGCTGTAGGCTCGACACTGGGATAGAATCAAGATCACACAAAAGTGTTATTACCACTTTAAAATGCCTTGGTAAGATCACACTTGGAATATTGCATCGCCATTATATAAAAAAGATATTGAGACTCTAGAACAGGGGTATCAAACTCACATCGTCACAGCAGCATTACATGACATAGCGTGACTTTTTTTCCCTTCACTACGCATGGGCATGGCCAGCACATGGCACATCTGGCCCATGGGCCGGGAGTTTGACAGCCCTGCTCTAAAAAGTACAGAGAAGAGCAACAAAGACGATTAGGAGGTTTGGAGGATAAAACATACAAAGATTGCAAGAATTGGGAATATCTAGTTTAATGAAAAGGACTAGTGATATGATAGCAGTGCTGTAATATTGGAGGGCTGCCATGAAGGAGGGAAGCCCTCAACTTATTTTTCAAAGCACTTGAAGGTAGGAAAAGAAGCAATGAGTAGAAATAATCAAGGAGAGAACCAACCTAGAACTAAGAATTTTCCTGACAGAACAATTGATCAGTGGAACTGTTAAAGCGAAAATCTACCTCGATACTCCCCTGGGATAATTGCACTTAATTACTTTCCTCCAGAAGTTGTGGGTACTTCAATACTGGAGGTTTTTAAGAAAAGAATAGACAAATATTTTGTCTGAAACAGTATAGGGCACTGATGGTGAACTTTTTTGGTGCAGAGTTCCCAAACCAGAACGCATGCCAGAGTGCTGGAAACCCGAAGGCCTGGCTGTGATGGTGCACATGCCCAGAGAGGGCACTGCGTGCCACATTTGGCACATGTGCCATAGGTTCGCCATCACGGGCATAGGATTTCCTGCTTGAACAGGAGATTTGACTAAAAGATCTCCACGGTCCCCTCCGACTCTGTTTTTCTGTTCTGTTCTGTATTTTGAGAGTGATTTTAGGTGGATCTCTTGCAAAACAGTTTTGAATGAAATTTTTATTCTATGGCACACCAAAGAAATGTCAGATCTCTGATCTCTGCAGATGATGTGATATGTAGTGTAATGATTATTTTAAATAAATCTCATGAAAAAGAGAATCCACTTTTCAGATATGTGTTTTTGCTTCACCACAACCTTCTTTATGTGTATATGAATGTAGTTTGTGATTTAATGATTGTTTGACAGGTTGCATGCAACAAGGATTCGTATGGTTTTATCTTCTTCCAGCTTCCTCTTAAATCATAGGAATGATTGTATTTTTAAAAAGTGGCCAATATTCCATTCCAGACATTTAACTATTCTAGCTTGGTGACATCTTGTATTTATCTTCTGTAATCACTAGCTATCATTTGACAATGTAAAAATCTAGTGTTTTTTCATTCCTCTCATATGGATAGAAGAGTGGTTGATGATTTTGTCAGTTTTTATGGGTCTTTCCCCACTTTATTCAATCACATTATATGATATGTCCTAGAAAAATATTTTTTCAACTGTGACTTCATAATATTGCCTATCTTTCATTCCCAGCTCATGAGCGAGTCAGTCTTATTCCTTATTTTGATAATTTTATTATCAAAAGAATAAGAACAAATACAACCTACAAAAGATGTAGGTTGAACATAAAAATATGAACATAAAAATACAAAAAAAGAAAAAAATATGAAAAAGTAAATAAACAGGAATTTCTTTCACCATCAATTTCAATATTTAACACTACCTCTAACTATATCATATTCTTTCTTCATCCCAGACTCGTATTTTACGTAAAAATCAAAATCCAAACAGTAAGACAATCTTACATCTCTGTGTATAAACCAAGGCAAAGAAAATGACCAAAACCAGAATTTTATGGTTTAATCACAAATGTAGACATGAAAGAAAGGTATTGGTTATATTTAGTCAGACAAATTAAGTATAATAATTTGATAGGGTAGAGGCAATGAGGGATAAATGCTGTAAATATTAAGCACTAATAAGTAAACAAGATTACAATAAAAGCCAATGGCAAGAATTAAGATTGTTGTGTTTACAAAATAATGTAAGTCGCCCAATCGCTTTGAAATGAGATGGACAACAAATAAATTTCAAAATAAATGAATTAGTTTTCCAAAGCCAGAGAGAAATAAAATAGTAGAACAGATTTTGTCTGAAGTTTAGAAACAAACAAAATGACAGAAACATAACAATAATTTGTAGTAAGCAGCAAAACATTTGCTGAGCAATGAAACAGTTGCTGGGAATTGGGCAATATATACATTTAAGAATAATTATTATATCAACAGTGGCTGGCATGGAGAAAATGAAGTATGTGGCTGTGTTGTGTTGTCCTGCCATAATATTCAACTTAAACATCTTTTTTTTAAAAAAAGGAAAAACTTTGGGGTACCCATGTCTCTCCCTTATGCAAGAGAGCCCTACATGAGTGGCTGTTGCCTATTCCCTGGGAAAGATGGTAGTCCTGGCATGAATGCAGCTTTAGAACCAATAGGAATACCCAATTGCTACAATATACATGATAACTGCTCCTTTGCAGATCAATGGGCCAAAGCTCACCCCAGCAGAAGGTGCATTCAAAACTCTGGTTGAATATGCAAGATCCTAAAGCTGCTGCCAGGAGATCTCAGTTAGAACTTGATAGTGCATGCAATGCATGCTGAAGAATGTGGACACCTGCTGGAACAGCTACTATTGCTACTTTGCAGGATAAACAGGCGCTGTGGGGCTATGACCCTAAATCTTGCCTGATTGCACATGTGGTAGTGTGACAAACACCAGCTGCCTGTACTGTATATAGTTTCTTGGAATCATTCCAAGAGGCTTGAAGAAGCGAGTCATCAAGGAAAGCAGTTCCAGCTCCGTGCTAAATATATACAACATGGGTGTTGGGCACGTCGATTTCTTCCGAATCATGATTGGAAAGCTTCAGCAGGTGAGCTAATCTCGAAATATGGCTTCTACATGCGCGGTGCCTCTATAGAAGCAGATTGCCCGGATTCGACGAATGCCAGGCTCTTGGCTGAGATGCTTAGCCCTTCCAGCGATATTGTTCGTGAACTACGTTGCAGTGAGAAAGCTCTGCGCTTCGACTCCAATCTCTTTCCAATCTCCACAGACTACACGGCAGCATCTCTCCGTGGCGAGCTTAAAAATCGGTAGTTTCATTCAGCCAACGGATCTAATCCTCGAAACCCGCGCGATCATCAAAAGGCAGGGCCGATACTCCCAACCAGACTGGTACCAGTGGGAGGCATCGCTCCCCCCTGCTACCTTTCTAGAGATATGAATCGCAACGCCCCGATGAATGACGAGATGCAGCTTTCGGGCTGCCGACCGGGGAATTAACCCAGGCCTTTTCTCCTCCCCCTTGCAGGCTGTTAATCGGATCTCGCTCCGCCTTCACTCCGCCTCTCCAATGAAGCTGCTCTGGATGCCCGTGGCAGCCATCTTTGTTGATGTGTCAGCTTTCAGTTCCTGTGAGGGAGGCTGCAGCAGGAACGAGAGCAGCGAGAATGGCTCTGTACCCTCCCGCTACACGCACACCCACCCCGTTACGCATTCTGGGTCTTCGGTTCTAATTAGCAATGGGAGAGCGGCTACTAATGCAACAGATGCTCCGGTCCCCAGCCTCCTAGCAAACGGGTAAGCGCTTCCCCACTGGGTTTGGGAACATATTGGGAGATCTAATGAGGTTTCGGTCACAAAGAATGTAGATCAGATAGGCAGGCTAAGGGAGAGGGAGGGGTGCTCGGATAGCCGGCAGGAAAATCTGCTCTTGCTTAGAGGGGTGGATTCCCACGACTTGTTTTACCTGCTTGCTCCAGGGTTTTTGTTTTTGTTTTAATCGGGAAAGGTTTTCGACGTCAGACACTGATCATTCTACGAGGCTTCCTCTCTGCTCCTCCCGCGGAGCCCCGCGTAGGTTACTAAATGGGGTTCCATAGGGGCATTCCTTCTTTGCCCTCTCGTTCTCGTATGAAAGCACCCGTGGGCTTTTGTCATTTTTGTTAAATGTTGATGGACGGTTCGGTTCACATTGGATAAACTCCGATGGAGTTGTTCTACCAGGAAGTAAATGATAGAAAGGTCCTTCAAGGTGTTGGCTTCAAGGTCAGATGTGTAAGCAGTGAGGAATTTTATTTAATTCCTTAGGGGACTGATGCCTTTAAGGATGCCTTTGTACATATTGGCTGGTGCTGCCTCCTTACCGTTAGGCATCTGAAAGGTGTCAGGTGTAAAATCGTTTGAGGTCTCTCATGTTTCAGACTTCTGATGCGAACCCGTAGTCTCAGAATATAACCATTTTAAATCAAACCCACAAAGATTGAAAAAAGATTATGTGACTCGATTTCATCTGTGTTACTGCAGGATGCTTGTGAAATTTAGATTTAGCATTTAGTTTTGCAAAAGGCAATACAGGAATACATCAGCGAAAAGCCTTCTCTAGTTAAGGCAAAAGTCCTACCTGAAAAGCTTTTGGCTACGCTATATATTTTACTTCATTGGTTTGCAATTAAAATATTTTCTCCAATAAATGTTCAATCTCAGTTGCATGACCAAAGGCATAGATAAGAAAAACCTTTCCCCTATGTTATTTCTATCTTCATTTTTCCTTATCAATAGTACTTAGATTACTGCATACAAAGTGCTTTTGGTGTCTTTTTCAGAAGATTTGTGAGCTTCATTATGTTTATTTAAGAGTAAATCCCACTAGGTTCAGTGCGATTTAGTGACAAATAAACATAAGCCTTTGTTATTATTTTGAATGTTGAGCTATGAACAAGGCATTTTGTGGCTTCCCTATTTAAGAATCAGGTAGCCAGATGCTTATAAAAGCAGGTGATATAAGGCTCAAAGTCGCTTGGAAAAGATCCCAAAGATCAATTTGCTCACAAAGCCATTCTACACAATTTATCCATAATTCCTGCCAGTTTTGCCATAGTGAACTTTCTGAACAGCTTTTGTTACAGGCTGAAAGTTGAAGAAATGTGATTTAGCATACTTGAGTAATCTTTTAAAAATTAATAGCTAAGGAATACAGCACCAGATTCTTCATTCTTGCATTTTCTTCCCACATTTTGTGTACCAGGGAAGGGTTTGTTTTTGGTGAAACAATATGCTTAGTAATTAGAAGTATATGACAGCCATATAATTTAAATGGAGTTAATGCTTCTGGGTAAAATTGACTTGCATTTCTTTGATCTGTGCAGTTGATACTTATTATCTGTGTGAACAAAGAGTATTATTCAGTGGGCTTGCTTTGATGATTTTTAAGGCTAGCTTATACAAGCTGCTCAGAACAAATGTAATTGTCTTAAATGACATTTCCTAATTATTTGAACAGAAAAGATATTCAAGACAACTCACAATTGTGTGTTGCACGTACACACGCACACACTCTCACACACACATAATTAAATACACATTTATTTAATCCATAGTAATAATAGTATAGCCCAATAACCAAGTCATTTAAAAAGTCTCATGTATTTATTTTATATAGAGAGAGAAATTGTATTTTTTAATGGACCAGAATACATGGTGTTCTGAATCACTTATTCTATGCTGCCATTCCAAGCTGGTTTCTCTATATTCTGTTTTATTATGTTTATTTAATATGAATCCAATCAAGTTACAATTTGTTGTGAGGGACTGTTTTACCTTTATATGTAAGGTATATTGATTTCTGTGTACAGAGAATTCAGTATACAAAACAGTAAAGCAATGTTGTAACAATCACCCGTAGCTGACGATGGTGATCATTATACTGGTTGCAGATCTTAGTAGTCTGAAAGTCCTGAATTGATTTAGTATTAAACCCCTCAGGGTTTTTTGTTTTTTTTACTTTGCTGCTTACGGTAGTAGTTTTACGATATTACATGACTGAGAATAAGATCAGTTTGACAGGTTAAATGTTTATTTTAATGTTTGCCTTAGCAACAGAACACCATATGAGAGATAAAGTAAAATGACAGATAAAGTAAAAATTCAGTGTTAAAAAACATTGTAGGAATAATAGTAGAACTATACCAGATGTATCAAATTATTTTGTCAATAAGCTCTGTTTTTCTGCCTATTTCTATCTTGATTTATTGGTCACTGTTGTTTTCTCACATGGTAATGTAATATGTGCAACAAAGAAGACTTCCATTTTGAGCCTGTAAATCTTTTGACTGAAAGGTACAGATAGGAAAAGATAGGTCTGGAAGCATTTTAAATGTTATAAGATTTAATTATAATATATAGCCTTCTCTATTAAAAAAAACCAAGATGTGATATTAAATCATAAAAAAGTGTGAGGGGCATATAAAAATGTAGATTACTAGAAGAATATAAATTAAAACACATGTTAAAGAGCAAGAGAAAATTTAAAAACAATACATTTATCTAAGATGTCCTAAAATTAGAATTTGCAAATGTTGCATTTTCTTCACCCATAAAATGATAAATGAATTTGTGTGGTTTACGTTTTCTTATCCCTTCCCCCCAAACCTGATGATTTATTTCTAATTAGGGATGGACAAGATACAATTATACTACTAATAATTATTGATACATATTTCAAATGTAACAATGATAGTCACTGTTATAATCACTGATAATCTTAAAACATTTTCTTTGAAAATTTACAGTAAATCAACTTTAAAATAATATTTTGAATAGATGGGTGCGCTTGCAGAATTTTCAGAACTTCAGTTTTGACAAGCATCCAACTAAGGCATGGAAGACAATAAGGCTCATCCATGCAAAGCTTGTTTTGTGTTTTCTTCTCTTTGCATGGACAAGCCAGTAACTTGGTGCCCCAGGCATCAAGGCAATAGATTCTGCAGGGCTGCAACTTTGCATGTATACTTGCCAAACAAAACAGAAATCCTGCTAGAATTTCCTGTTCCTGCTGTTAGCTTGTTAATGCAACATGGACATTGATCCTTCTTAGCATGATAAAGCCCACAATAATTTGATATACACTTCAAAGTGTTCATGGTTGAAATGCTTCTGGTTTAAATGGAACATTTGGCCCTTTGGTGGAATTTTCTGTGAAATGTGAAGATTATCTGTGAAGATAACTGATATATTCTCTTTTGGGGGAGTTGTAAAATCTAGATCTACTATAAAGAAGGATTTTTCTTGGGTTTTGCCAAGATATAGATAGATATTTTTTTTTTTGAAATTTCTGTATTTCTCCTCCCTTCATGCTCATTCACTCACTCCAAGACCACTATCTAGTGTTTTTAAGACAATGAGATCTCAATGAAACAAACTATGTAAGTAATACTCTACATGAAAAGCTCACCATTTTATTAGAGCTTACTATATACTAAACTGGAATGAGTGTACATTCATCTCACACTGTCCCAGAGAGCTTTATTATTCAAATAACAAGTGTTTGAATAAGAGTATAGATGAGTACCATGTTTAAACAAGGTAGAAACACTCCTGTTGTAGCATACTGTATATTGTGATCCCTATTGTCCATAGCAGTCGGTAGACATGATCAAAACTTTTTAATTTCACAACATATGGACAGACCTAACCATATTTCAGTTGGGAAATTGTGACCATCCTAGACCAAGCCAAGTCTAAAAATGCTAGGAATTTTTAGAAGCCTGGCACTCTGACAAATTAGCCATCAATAGACAAATAGGCATAAACAATATCTGCATACTGTGCAAAGGAGACAGTCAACAAGCCAGAAAGGGAATAAAAAGACCTTCCTACCCTAATCAACATCCAGATGAACATAGATTAATTCCAAGATTAACATCAGACCAACAGTCAAGAAGTAAACAATACCTCAACCAAGGAATTGCCAAACAATCCAACAGTAAACAGTCCAACTAAAGAACTTCCAAGACCACTTCCACGAACACTAACAGAGCAAGCAATTAGAATATAAACTAAGAGCAAACCCCACTCCTTACTACTACTGATGATATTATCTAGTTTGGGTAATGAAGTATCTGCAAGAAAAAGACCAAGTCCAGAAATATAAATAGTAGAGTTTCTTTTCCTATGAAAGAATTCCCAGAAAATATTTTTTCTTATGGGCATTTTGACCTTAATATCCAAGTAGGTAGATCGAAAAAAGCAATTTGCATCATCTAGAATTACTGTCGAGCCCCGACAATAATGCCGAGAATTACCTTTTCCTATGCAACCATCTTCTTTTGAACTCAGGTTAAGTTTCCGGGCCTTGAGAAGGAGAGTGATGGTTGAAATTTTGGAGTTTCTTTGAGTTTTGGCATCAAGTGAAAATTTTAAAAGACTCAAATCCCTTTGACCAGAATAGCTGGAAAGGTTTGTGCATTTATTTTAAAGGTGATCTACTGGAGACCTGATGAAATATATTTCCATTCCTCATCCAAATTTATATTTCTAAATCATCGTAAAGAGTAATGTAACATAAAATATATAAAAATGGTCCTCGGCTTAATCTTAATCTGTTTGTTTAGTGATCATTCAAATTTCTAATGGCATTGAAAAAATTGTCTTCCACCAGCTAGAATAGCGAAAATGTTCCCTAGTAATTCACCGAAATGTTGGAAATGTAAGAATAACTATGGAACTTATTATTTATTTATTTTATTTATTTTATTTTATCATATTTGTATACCGCCCTACTCCCGAAGGACTCAGGGCGG